AAATATATAAATAAAATTCTCAATCACACCTTTAATTTTCTTGGGAACTTATCCAACTCTGTCACTGGATGCAATGGGAAAAGTGGCGAGATTAATATTTTTCTGTATCTATTCCAAATTAAGACCACATTTTAAAAGAGAGGGATTTTTTTAACTATATTCTTAATATCCTGTATAAAAAGAATATTTGCAGGGTTCAAATGCATGTTCATAAATTGTACCTGGGAATCCCTAACAGGCTCCTACCTTGGCTGGGGATCTGACAATTGCCCTTCATTCTTGCTCCAGACAGTTTTTCCATGAAATCATTTGAGAGCGGTGGTAGCAAGAAGCGCTATGGAAAGAGACATTTTGCTCATGACATTTTTAAAATGCGAAACGAAACTTATGCCATGCAATAGGGTAGTGCTTCCCAACTTTGGGCAAACCAGGTGTTCTTGGACTACAACTCCCAGAAACCTCAGGCAGAACAGCTGGTGGTGAAAGCTTCTGGGAGTTTTAGTTCAAGAACATCTGGGCTACCCAAGGTTGGGAACCACTGCAGTGGGGGTTTTATGCTGTGCCCCTTCCAATAACCTGTACACATGAAGTGACAAAAAGGAACACCAGAGAAACATCTGGCAAGTTCTTCATTTGTTATTATTTATTTCATTCATTTACATGCCATCTTTCTCCCCATAGGAGACCCTCTTCTGCTGCAGGAGGACTCCACCAGGATACTCTGGAGTGGAAGGTTTCACGAGTTGACAGAAAGCAACACTAGAGCCTTCCTGCAGAGGGGGAATCTGCTGGTGGCTGTTGCCAGGGTCTGGATGCCATCGCTCGAGGCTGCTGAACCATTGCTTGTCCACCTTCTCCCGACAGGCAAGTACAGTGGTGCCCCGCAGTACGACGACCCCACAGTATGACAAAACCGCAGTACGATTTTTTGCGATAGCTATAGCAAAACAATGGTTCCTATGGGGGAAATCCGCTTTACGATGATTAGGTTTCCTGCTTTGGGAACCATTTTTCGCTGGACAACTATCTTTACAGCTGATCGTCGGCTTCGCAAAGTGGCCTCCCACTGTTTTCCGACCCATGCTTCGGAAGACAGCGATTAAAAACAGCTGATTGGCACTCTCAAAATGTCTGCCCTGTGGAGGATCTTTGCTGGACGACAAGGTAATCTCCCCATTGGAGCTCATTAACCAGTTTTCAATGCATTCCAATGGGGATTTTTTTTGCATGACGACAATTTCGCTGTACAGCGATTTTCCTGGAACAGATTATCGTCATCATGCAGGGCATCACTGTACACATCATTTCGGGTGGGCCTTGGTCAACATACCCCACTTGTCATGGAGGGGATTCTAACTGGGAAATGGCTGTGTTTTATTTACTGAGGTGTTATTAAAACTGTTCTTAGGTTGTTATGCTTTGGTTCCCTAGTGATGTTTCCTGCATGCTTAAGCACTACTCGGGGTCTCCCAGGCTGTCCATGGTTCGCCTTGCCAGGTGATCAATTGGAAAAACCAGGCGCATGGCAAGCAGTCTGGAAAACAGGCCCCTTTGCATGGCTGCCCTGTGAGATCACACAGGACAACAAGATTTTGTTTTTAAGTGTATCTGCTGTATTTAATCATATGTCACCTTGAATCTACCGAGGGGAGGGGGAAAGGTGGATTGAGCGCACACACCTCTCAGGCTGGCCATGGCATTTGAAGTCCAAAAAAGCAGCTTTCTCCGCTATTTCTCACATCCACCCAGGAAGGCCATTAGTTGGCGCCGGGTTCTCACGTTGAATCTAAAGTTGACCTAGCAAGTCTCAAGTTGGTACACACATGCCTTTTGTATTCCTGCCTTGGACTCCGTGGCCTTAGAGGCCCCTTCCAGCTTCATTATTCTGTGATTTTATGATTCTATGCCGTTCTTTACACCTATGATTTTTTTTAACATTAAAAAGGGGAAGGTGGGAGGAATTGATAACATTTCCAGGGAAATGTTGGTGAGTAACGCAGGATTCTTTTGTGAGTCTACCCGGTTATCGCTGTATTGACCTCGACTTCCAGGCAGGAGCCTGGGGGGAAAAAAAACCTTTCTCGCGTCTTGCTGGCAAGACCCACTGACTGGTTGTTCCTGGAAGGTCTTGAACTTGCTCTAAATTAAAGACATATGTTTCCTGACCACTGGGAAACCCTCCCCCATTCTCCTCTGCAGTCCCGCCAAGGTTTACTGATTCAGTGCATCCTGTCAGAGTGAAGGGCTTGGGAGGGAGGCAGAAACAGGGCTGGGACAATTAAAAGCCACCTTGGTTCACAGAAAGAAAACACCACACACACAATGTTTCCAGAGAACGGGACTTTCTTGTTTGTCTCCAAAAGTGCGACGCCACTCATGAGAAAATGCCAAAATTGGAAAGGAGGAAAGCCACGCGTGGTGCTCGGAGGAAAGGAGTCATACAAATGTAAATAAACAAAACACACCATCAAGGAGGCCTACAAAATGTGGGATGATCAACCTGATCAATGGACCCACTAAGCCCTTGGTTTCTAATATCTCCTTGGACAAAAAAATAAAGGCAACAAGGAGGTTCTATCAGGGATGGAGGGTTGGCCCGGGTCTCACTCCACCAAAGTCCTCCACTTTGACACCCTGGCTGTGTTCCTCAACTTGATTTTAACCTGGAACTTTTATCATTCTTTACCTTAAAACATTTTACAAATCATCTTCCCAAACAACGCGAGAGTATTGCCATGCCCTGGACCCCTAGGAGGGCCTTGCAATGAGATTCAGATGGCAACTAAGAGACTCTTAGCCCCTGACACATGATTGATTAGCTTCCTTTGGCTTGGTATAACCCATATTCAGGGACAGCCTTGCCTGGAATCAGCTGTAGCAACACCAACATCTCAGGTTTCATCACCACCCTCAGGAATACAGGTACAGTGGTGCCTCGCATTACGATGTTAATTCGTTCCAGCGAAATCGATGTAGAACGAAAACATCATAAAGCGAAATTAAAAAGGCCATAGAAACACATTGAAACCTGTTTAATGTGTTCCGATGGGCTGGTAACTCACGGTCCAGTGAAGATCCTCCATAGGGTGGCCATATTCGCTGCCTGTGCAGCGAGGAATCTGTCCCAGAAAACAGCGGGGGGCCATTTTGTTTACCCAGCGGCCATTTTGAAACCGCCGATCAGCTGTCCAAAAATCATTGTTTTGCGAAGAATCGGTTCCCGAAGCAGGGAACTGATCATCGCAAAGCAAAATTCAAAAATTGTAAAGCGATTGCAAAAAAGAACGCAAAAAGTTCATCGTAATGCGGTTTCATCATTAAACAGAGCGATCGTAAAGCGAGGCACCACTGTAAATGATTCATATGGCAGGATTATGGTAAAGCATAGAAAAATTCTTTGAGTCCCCAATGCCTGGAATTCCCAGCCAACATGGCCACATTAGGTGGGGAATGCTGGGAGCCGTGCTCTGATAAAGAAGCATTTCTAAACTCTGGGTCAGAGAGTGGGATTCACTAATGAGTCCCTGCATGGATTCGTCACTGTATGCCAGTCAGATGGCTTGGCACAAGACCAGGAATCCGAGCAGACCTGTCAATGAGCGGCACCTGATACCCCTGGCGCATGACAGCACTGCCCTTCCTCCAGTGCTACTATGTAACAGGGTTTTGATGAATGGGTTAACATCAAGATAATTCCTTTCTTATTAAAATGGGAAGCATGCATCTAGACTTAAGAACATTTTAAAAGTAACTTTAAACCTTAAGAAAGGTTATTTTAAAACATGATTTTTTTAGAAGCATTTAACATAGCCGTAGCCATTTGAATGCTAACTCGTTAAATTAACAAATTATCTCCACGCTCTGCTCTGGATTGCGCCCACAGACATAACAAGCATCCAGTGATTGCATCTGGGTATTCTCTCTACAAAACAGGTGCTCTACCATCAGGCTATGGTTCCACTGCTATCAACATTTTTTGGAGCATGGCAGGAGACTTACATGTCTGAACGTCTTTCGGAGATGCTTGAACTGCAGGTAGGACTGATAAAAATGAAGCTGCCCCACTTCATGTAGCACCACGACTACTACGCCAGCCAGATGCCCTCGGTGGTGAATCCTGCACCAGCTGGACCAAAAATCAGGGGGGAAAGCCATTAATTTTCTTTGAAAGGGCCTGCTCTTTTCTGCTCAGATGCAAATAAATAAATTAAATTACTCAGATGCAAAAAAAAAAAGCACTCAACTCAGGCTGGCATTTTAAGAGCTAGAATCTGGTTTTTTAAATCCAGCTCAGCTGGACTCATGCTGAGCTTTGCTACTGATGGGGCAGAGAATAAGATGGGAAAAACGGCACAATAATACATTCCTATCAAAGAACTAGCCAGACAGTATCATAACAAATAAATAAGCAAAGAGACATGAACACCATCAATAAAATAACAAAGAAATAAGTTAACATTAACAGTAAATTAGAACATGGCTATAATAAATAATGCAATAACAGCAATTTCATTTCTAGTTTTAAAGACACATTCTTTGGATAAATGGGAAAACACAAATAAGACAAAATCTGCCCCCCTTCTTTTTTTCCCCAAAGGGATTTTTTTAAGCGCCTCCGCCTTAATCAATTCCTTGATCCTAGGCCTTCATATCACTATCTGGGAAACTGCATCCGGCTCTCCCTTTGAGCTGGAGCACTTTTGACTTTCACTAGCTGCAGGTCTCCAGCAGATCCCAAGAGAGCTGGCTTTGTCATCAGCATCTGAGTTTTCCCATCTGATGTTATTTTTCCCCCTCTAAAAAACCCCTCTAGCATCCCTAGAACACAGAAACCTTTCCAAACTGCAACCTACTTTTAGAAAAATAATAATGATGCCAATGAGTGAGTGAAGGATCTTATGCACATATTTAACAGCAAAACATGCTCATGCTCCTCACTTTGCCACAGGGTTCAATTTTATTTTCTCTGAGCAGAGAGCACCATTCTTCGTTTAGCACCATTCTTCATTTAGCACCATTCTTCGTTTTCTGCTACCTGATCCATTTAAATTGGAACTGCCAAGGTTTCATCTGGGACCTCCTACATGCCAAGTATAAACGGTGCCATTGAATTATGTACTCTCTTGTCTAAGCTGGCTGCACATCTCAGCGATTTAGTACCCGGAGGTTGGGAGTTTGAATCCCCCACTGTGCCCCTCCTGTCAGAGTCCCAGCTCATCCCCAGAAGGGAATAATAGGCCACTTCTGAATATTCTCTACCTGCAAAGCCCTGAAAAAGGGATGACAGAAGTCAGATCTGACTTGATGGCACATTTTTTGATTGTCTTATTTATACTTAAATTGGAAAAAGGACATTTATTGCAGAGAGAGGAAAGCCTGTAGGTTACAACCCTATTTCTCAGTTTTTGGACAGACCAGAACCTGGAAACACAAATTTTTCTGACTACTGTTCTCAAAACACCACAGATCATCTTGCTTTATGGATTCTGCGTAAAAATCCAAGTCTTTCCATCTCTGTTGTAACCAGACCTGATCTAACAGGCTTCGTGACTAAGGGAGTGGGGGATCTGAGCGAGAACCTTTCCAGGTCTAACTTCTACATCACATTGGCTCTGAAACTAAAATAAACAGCAAATGTTTATGGGTCATCAGAAAACAAGAGTTCACCACAAGCAGCTTTAACTGCTGGATAGCTCAGTGATTTAGGTATCAGGCTGCGGAGCCAGAGGTTGGAAGTTCAATTCCCTCACTAGGCCTCCTTGACAGGAAGGCTGAACTCCATATTCCATAAGGCCCTTTCCAGCTCTGGACTTCTAGGATTTTAATTATTATTAAATTCCCTTCCACTGAATGTGGAGAACAGACTGCTTTACCAATGCAGAAGGGCTGGACTCCATGATCCATAACGTTCTTTCCAGCTCTGGACTTCTAAGATTTTAATTATTATTAAATTCACTTCCACTGAACGTGGAGAACAGACTGCTTTACCAATGCAGATAGAAGCTCTACCTGGGCTGTGTTGCTCCACATCGTTTTCCTAGAGCAGAGTATTTGAGGAATTCAAATAATTGGTCATAGTCGATTTCACAGCCTTTCCCAAACGTGGCAACAGACAAGCGGGGTTTCTTTTCCTGAGAAAGAAAGAGAACTGGGTTCAGGATTATTTACACCTCCGAGCCAATTCTTGTGGCTCTCCACCTCCTGCTCACTATAACGCTGCCAAACGAAAAGCCTTTCTCCACTCCGTGGCTACAGGGGTGCTCCAGGAACGGCAGTTTTGTGCTTTGCCTGTCTCCCTCAAACCTGCAAAGTACTCAAAATTGAAAAACAAATCAACTCGAGCTGCAAATGGTCATCCAGTCGCTTCTGCTTTTCATTTTTCTTTATCGTTGTTCATTTTCAGGGGTGGCACAACATTAATAGGTTCTGGAAGTTGATCCCTAGCCCTTTCAAAGTTTTCCACCCACTGATTTACACAGCTGGTTCTAGGACCAGACATACTATTATAAGTAATGAAACCCAGGAGGAGAATATTTTCCCCCTAATTTTTATTTTTTTTAATTCACAAAATGCACCATGAACAGAGAGACACAGCTAAGGCGCTGTATCTTGGTTTTGCATAACTGAACATCACTTGGAAGCTATTTACATAAACACAGTAAATGCCAAGCAGCTGCAGTCGGGACGGGTCATTTGCAAAAAATCTGTCTGGAATTAATGATTCCAACTCTGTAGAAAACAAAGACAGGCTTTGAAAACCTGCAATATGCGTTTAGAAAGAAAAAGGTCATAATAGCCAGGTTCCCCTCCCCTCATTTTCCTGCATACCATTCGCTAAACTTCTTGATCATTTTAATTTGCAATTTTAGTTTTGTACAAATTAAACAAAGGAAAAAAAAAGGATTGCAGAGTGACCTTTCAGATCTTTGCTAACATGTTTTCAACCTCATCTTTGTTACCACAAGAGTCAGAAACTATTTTTTTTTACTTGCAGAATTTAGATGAGCCAGTATTGTTTCCACAAAAGAGAAAGATCTGGTTCTGTTCTGATCATTACAGCAAGAAAAAAAATTGTTTATGAGGAAAGAAAGATGGGGATAGTCAAGGGACTACATGCAATGTCTGAGGCTACTCCATTTAAAAAAGAAATAAAACAGATAAATGTGTGTAAAATAGACAATTGTTTCCCCTCAAAGTAGAACACAGAATTTTCTAACAAAGTTGAATGTTGGAGCATGTAGGTCCCATAAAAGGAAACAGGACTTCATAAAACCAGTGTTATTGTGATAAATTTAAGAAATGCAGATGTCCATCACAACCGGTCCCATAGCTACCACTTCTCAAAAGATGAGTCCAAACATCCAGGCAGCTAATTTGGTCCATATTAGCAAATAAGGAACAGGACTTTTGTGATATTAGTGGTTCTTCATTGCTCGGTCGAAGCTAAAGTACATACCATATTTTTCCACGTATAAGATGCCCCCATGTATAACCCACCCTCCCCACTTTTCTAATCCAAAATTAAGAAAAATAAGTGGGGCTTAGCAAGTGCAGGGGGAAAGGGATCAAAGCGCTGCAGAATCACTTTGATCCCTGCTTTCCCCTCCACTTGTTTTTGTTCTCTCCTCAGTTTACTTCCGTGTAGAAGACGAGCCTCAATTTTTATTCAAAAGATTTTAGACACAATATAGTCTTATACACGGAGAAATGCAGTACTGTGCATTTTGACAGACACAGCTTGCAACAATATCCTGTTACTGGGAAAATTCTGTACTTTTTGCAATTACTGGGATGGCTAGAGCTGAACTCAAACAGGGAAACCTAGGGAGGATGGTGACACATGATGGCACAGATGGTTCGGGCTTCAATCCTGCACCACTGCTTAAAACACAGCTGAAACTATGAAGTTAATTTCTACAGGAAGCTGGGAGGGCCACTAATGGAGATGGCTTTAAGTAGACATTAGACCAGTTTATGGAGGATATGGTGGCCAATGGCTACAAGTCACAATGTCTATGTGTTACCTTCACATGGCTTCTGACCACCAGTGGGGCTGGAAGCAACCAAAACAGAGGGCCATCTTCATGGGCTTCTCCTGACCATCTGGTGTCTACAACAAGAAGTAGACTAGATTTGCCTCTGGTCTAATTCAATTGGGCTCTTGGTGCAGTTCTCAGTCCACTTGGTGGCCATACACCCTAACACGTCCTCGGTGGGGCCTCTCGCCGATGGCACCCTCCCCTGATATAATCCGGCCTTTTGACAAGAGGAGCCCTACGAGATCAAACCAAAGGCTCTCCAGAGACAGCCGCCTGCTTCCCACCGAGACCAGCAAGAGCTCTTTTGGGAAGCCCACCAGGACAGTGTGAAGAGTGACAGCCTTCTTGGTCCTTCTAGGCAACTGGTATTTGGTATTCTGAGCATTTTGCCAGTTTGGGAAAGCTGCCTTTTTCGGAGCCAGAATTCTGTTTAGCCTCCAAACCAGGAAACGGTGTTGGCTGCCTCTGAAACGGTCTATTTCCTCCATCTCCTATGTTCACCTTAAAATAAATTTCCCAGGCTACAGGGTTAGGAGGGGTTAAGTCACTTGCACCAAAAACAACAGAGAGACTTGTGACACCTTAAGACTTGCAAGTTTTGTTTCTACATAGCCTGAGAACTGATAATCTTTTTTTTTAATCACAGTGTGTAGAATTCCCTGAGACTTAGTTACTATGGAAGACCAACCTGTTAGGCACAGGCATTGCCCATATTTCTATTGCAAAGCACTGTAGGTGCAGTGGTGTAGTTTTCCAGACTCTGTGCCTGGCCACTCACCCACATACGAGAGGGCAAATTGGGGGTGGGGGGACGTAGCAGATGGCTGGCAGACCTCCTCCTGCTTGCCTAATCACTCTTGCGCTCCACATAAAACGAGAGGACAAATTGGGGGTGGGGGGGATGTAGCAGACGGCTGGCAGACCTTCTCCTCCTGCTTGCCTAATCACTCTTGCGCACGCATGTGGTTCAGTAGGACAGAGTGATGGACTAGGACTAGGAGACCTGGGTTCAAATCTTCCCAGCCATGGAAGCTCACTGAGAGTGTGGAACTGATAAAACCACTCCTTAAATATCTCACTTACTTTGTGAGCGCTATTTGGGTTGCTGTAAGTCAGTTCTGACTTGAATGCACATAAATTCACACACCAATCTAACTGTAGCTGGTTGGATAGTTGAGTGTGTTGACTACCTGGCTGCAGAGACAGAGGGTTTAGTTCTCCTGTGTCCCAGGAGAAGGGCCAGCCTCTGTAGACTTGGGCAAGCTGCACAGACCCAGGATGCCCCCAGAAGAAGTGATGTTGTTATGTGCCATCAAGTTGTATTCAACTTATGACAATCCTAATAGAGTTTCCAAGGTATGTGAGATATTTAAAGAGCTGATTTTACCAGCACCACTCCCTGTAAATTTCCATGGCTGTTTGGGGATTTGAACTCAGGTCCCCAGAGTTCTCGTGCTGCACTCTGTCCACTGGCTCTCAACACTCAACAGCAGGTATGTCAAACTTTGTCTTGCATGAACCTCTGACCTAAGTCCAATTCTACATCCTGAATAACCCTATCAGCGAGCCACTTTTTGATTACAAGCCATCAAGAGATGTCTCCGAGTTGGCTTGTTAGAGCAGTATTGTTGCGCAATAGCAAAGCTCTCTGCATGGTTCAGCAAAGCCTTAAAATATTAATAAATGGGATAAATGAAATCAAAATAAAAGATACAAAATAAAAAAATGTGGCATAATAAAATCAATGCAACAATAGACTACAAAATATTTTAAGCACTTAAAAAAAATCTCAGGATTTTTTTTTTCAAGCCACCACCACCAAAACTCCAAATAGGTAAAGGGAAAGGTTCCCCTTGACATTTAGTCCAGTCATGTCTGAGTCTAGGGCACGGTGCTCATCCCCGTCTCCAAGCCGTAGAGCCAGCGTTTCTCCGTACCGTTTCCGTGGTCACATGGCCAGCGTGACCACACACGGAACGCCGTTACCTTCCCACCATGGTGGTACCTATTTATCTACTCACATTTTTATATGCTTTTGAACTGCTAGGTTGGCAGGAGCTGGGACAAGTGATGGAAGCTCACTCCGTCATGTGGATTCACTCTTACAACTGCTTGGTCTTCTGACCTTGCAGCACAGAGGCTTCTGCGGTTTAACCCGCGGCGCCACCACATCCACTCCAAATACCAAACCACTAATTCCTAAGGGGAAAAAAGGACTTCTACCGGACACGGAAGAGCACAAGATCTGTGTCAATGAAGCACTTTGGGTAGGGTGTTTCACCGCCAGGTTATATTTCTGGAGACATATATACAAAACCTGAAAAATATTGCCCTACCCTGGAGGAGTACAGATTTGTCTTGGAGTAAAATCTCAGAATTCCCAAAGCAGCGTAGCTCTCATGTACTTTTTATACTGAGTTACTAATTCTGGAAGGGATGTGGTGGCGCTGTGGGCTAAACTGCAGAAGCCTGTGCTGCATGGTCAGAAGACCAAGCAGTCGTAAGATTGAATCCACGCGACGGAGTGAGCGCCCGTCGCTTGTCCCAGCTCCTGCCAACCTAGCGCTTTGAAAGCATGCAAATGCGAGTAGATAAATAGGGACCACTTCGGTGGGAAGGTAACAGCGTTCCATGTCTAAGTCGCACTGGCCATGTGACCACGGAAGATTGTCTTCGGACAAAACGCTGGCTCTATGGCTTGGAAACGGGGATGAGCACCGCCCCCTAGAGTCGAACACGACTGGACAAAAACTGTCAAGGGGAACCTTTACCTTTACTTACTAATTCTGGAAGCAAACTTTAAGACCTTATATTCAGAACTATGGCTCATTCACAATAACTTGCCCATAAGCACCTACTTTACTTAATACGGCCACATTCTGCTCCTTTTGGCAACCGTCGCCCTGAGAAATTTTCCTCTTCTTGTTGATCTTCTGGAGCGTCTCTCCATTTTCATTCCCTTCATGTTTCCTTTTATTTTTAATTACTTGTGTTGCTGTAGCCATTGTATTTGCTTAAAGCAGACTGTGTCTGTCAACAAAGAAAGAATTTGTAAAACCAAAACTGAACGGTTGCATTGTGGCATTTATTGTCCCACCAACCAGTTTTCCATTTGGTTCATTGATTCAAATGGACTTACTCTAACTAAGGATGATTTACTATGCTAAAGTAAATCCCATCTGAATCAATGGAGCTCAACAGAGCTCATTTACCAAATACCCATGGTTTCATTGGGCTGGCTCCAGTGCAATTCGATATACTAAAGAAGAAGATTTTGGCCAATGACTGGAAAAAGTTAAATGCAGTAGGAAAAGAGGAAGACTGAAGGTAAGATGCATTGACTCAATAAAGGATCCACAGCCTGACCTTGGTAAGATCTGAGCATAGCTGTTAATGATAGAGTCCTTTGCAGATTGCTAATTCCAGGAATTGCTAATTCCTGCTAATTCAGAAATGACTTGATGGCAGCTAACAACACAGCCTGGCAAAGATGATTTTTTAGGGAGCAATTCCCACAATCCCTCACAGCCAGCCAACATGGTGGTGCAGGTTGGGGTATTCTGGGATTTTTGAAAAGATATAACTCTGCCCAACTCTACCAAATAAAATGTGCTTGGCTTTAAAATACCACAAGATTCCTGACGATTATAACCACTTAGAAACTCATAGGAGTGGAGCCCAATCCAAAAATCAGGAGAACATAGCAAGGAAGGCAGGATATTGAGCCACGCTTCATAGGGGCTGGGGCAAGGGAGTCAAGCTGATTCTCAAAGTGAGGAGCCAGAGATTTACAAGGAAGTCCCGGTTTCCGTTTGTGAAATGGTGAGAGCTTTGCACACACGTGTGTGCGCATGCACACGTGCATGAGGGTTTTTTTAATGGGATTTTCTCTCCTGCCCCCTAAGGGGAGTTCCTTCCTTTCCTCGTCCTCCAGGAATATAGAAAAGCCAAGGACAGAATGAAGACCACCGGAAAATAAAATAAAATAAAATAACTTGCCTTGCTTGCTAAGGTCTCCTGGAATGATGCAGGGCAATGCCTCTCATCGAGGAAAAGCGTGGCTCGGCAATCGTCCTCTACGGCCTAAGAGGGAAAGGCCCGTAAAGTCGAACAGAGGATGGAGCAGGCTGCCTCTGCAAAAGGTTAGCGAGGGTCGAGGGAGCAGACCTTGGCAGACGATCCTCCGATGCCATCGATAAGAGGCGGGGCCACGGAGTGGCGGACTGTTTGAAACGGACAGCGATAGGTGGAAGGGAAAGATGGTCGCTTAGCTGGCCGGGTCACGTGGGGGTGGGGGATCCGTAGCTATGGCGACGAAGCGGTTGGCCAGGTAAGGCCTAGCACAGGGCCTCCCTCTGTTTGTAGTCTATTTAGGGGGAGGGGGAGGCTTGTGGGAGTGGCAGTCCAAGAGCACCCGGGTTAGCCAAGGTTGGGAACCGCCGTTGTGGCCCAAGAGAGAGCTCCTGGCTGAAAATGGGGTTGCCCGAGGAGAGGGTGGGTGAACCAGCCTCGCCTTTCTCTTTGCGCCTCTGAATGGCTGGAGATCAATTAGGCAATAAATAAAATAATGGAAAAGGAGAGACTTCCAACCTCTCTAAATAGCAAGGCAAAACTACGATGGCCAGTGTTCTTTCTAAAGGAAAGGGCGGGCAACGTGTCACTTTCCAGATTTTGTTGGACTACAGGTCCCATCACCCCTAGCGGCTATAAATAACAGTATGGTGTGCTGGAACTTCTAGTCCAACAACATCTGGAAAGCCACAAGTTGCCCAGCCTGGTCTAGAGTGATTTTTCCAGCATGCTCTTCTGTTAAAATCTCTTATTCTAATTTATTTGTTTGTGTTTTTACAGACAGCTTGGCATTATTAGAAGACTTTCCAAGACATCACTCAGTGACCAAAGTCGTGATAGACCCAAACTACGTGAGTCTGGTTATCTCTTTAACAAAGCAAAAGTTACTATCTTTCTATTTTAAATAATAGCATCTCACAATGCCTTTGTTGTTTCAGGGCAGTTATTCAGCTACTTAATTGTCATTGACTTCGAATCTACATGCTGGAATGATAACAGGAAATGTTACACTCAAGAAATAAGTAAGTAGAAATTTAGAATTTGGGGAGTTGCTTCAGGTTACATTGGGAGAATAACAATGAAATACAACAGTTAAGTGTGGTTTTGGCAACTTACTTGCATTTAATGTCCAGCCTCCCTAACCTGAATTCTTTGTGTAAGACATAATCATCTATATGTTCAATTTATGTAAAGTGCTGGAAAAGGCCATTTAGCCACGTTATGTATTTCAGTGCCACCCATTCCTTTCTGTGTACAGACAAAAGAAAGCAAGAATTGTAGTTTCTCCCGTTTCCTTTATATTGCAGAGCAGACTCTGTGCATGTCCGGGGTGCGCACAGACTTGATATTGGGGGGAATGTGGCAGCCCCTGATTGGCAAAATGGTGTGTATAAAAGTAGAGCAATTTACTTAGGGTGACAGAAGATATTAGCATGGTGGGAGAAAGAAACAGAGATGTATGTTCTCCTCTTAGGAATACCCTATCCCCTTTGACAAGACAGAATCTGAGAAAGCCTGGGTGGATTGTGTTTTTCTGTATATCTAGCTGATTTTTAATGAGGTAAAATGCTATACCGCACTGTTAACTGAACTTTATCAGAGAAGGCCATTCTTTTGTTACATTGACTGGAAACTGACATGACCAAGATAAAGAGATGTATGACTCTTTTAACTTTCAGGGTCCCTGTTTGAGAACAGTCCTAATATAATGGCTTATAGATAGCTTGCTCTTAAGATATGGCTTTGTATTTTTATTGTACACTTCAAACCTTACTGAATTTTTCATGTCACCTTTAAACAGTATAGACTTTATATAATCCTGGCATGGTAGGTGAAGCTGAGAATGACTGGCTCAAGGTCAACCAATGATCACCACTCTGGTTGAATTTTTATTTTTCCTTTCTTAAAAGAACTCAATGGGATATGCATAGTTCATTCTTCCCCCTCCCCTCACTTGTTTTCTTCTATTTACTTCCAATGAGATAGAACAGGCTGAGAGTTAATGACTGGATAAGGCCACAGCTGAATGGAAATTTGAATCCAAATCTTCACACTCTTCTTAACTATACCTGCTCTAGAATATGTAAAGCGGTATCACTTAAACAGTTTTACGTTCAAATAAATTTTAGCTTAATTTTAAAGTGAATTGGAAGCATTTATAAAACTATTTGTCCTTTCTTTTGGTAGTTGAATTTCCAGCAGTTTTATTAAATACCTCAAATGGAGAGATGGAATCTGATGAGATAGAACAGGCTAAGAGTTAATGACTGGATAAGGTCACAGCTGAATGGAAATTTGAATCCAAATCTTCTCACTCTTCTTAACTATACCTGCTCTAGAATATGTAAAGCTGTATCACTTAAACAGCTTTACTTTGAAATAAATTTTAGCTTAATTTTAAAGTGAATTGGAAGCATTTATAAAACTATTTGTCCTTTCTTTTGGTAGTTGAATTTCCAGCAGTTTTATTAAATACCTCAAATGGAGAGATGGAATCTGAATTTCATGCATATGTCCAGCCTCAGGAACATCCAATTCTGTCTGAGTTTTGCACTGAACTAACTGGCATAACACAGGTACCATTTCATATTTCAGTTTTGAAATGACACACATGTTCATTTAGTCTAAAACTGCATTAATATTACTGCCTATGTCTAGCAAAGAATTTTGTTAAGGATGTGTGTGCAGTGAGGCTGTAAGTTCTGCCAATGGTACTTAAATGTAGTTTTTATTTTCTGTTAAGAACCAAGTTGATGAAGGAGTCCCTCTGCGGATCTGTTTATCTCAGTTTTCTAAGTGGATTCAAAAGTTGCAAACGGAGAAGAACATTATTTTCAGCTCCAGTCATTCAAGTGGTGCTGCTTCAGAAGGCCAATTGTGTGCTTTTGTGACATGGTCAGGTAATTCAAGTGTCTTTTAAAAAAATGAAACAAACTGGTTATCGCACCCTGAAACAAAACCCTTAATGCAAAGGTGGGTAATGTGTAGCTCTCCAGGTGTTAATTGCAAATCTCATTAGTCATATCCAGTTATAAAGGGTGAAAGAAGTTGCAGTCAAGCAGTATCTAGAGGGCTACATATTCTCCATCTCTATATAGTCTCTAGTGATTTCATGGTTGCATTATTGGCTTGAAGTGATATGTTAATCAGTGTTTGAACTTTTTGTGAGCAGTGACTTTCCTTTCATGTAGATGTTGCAGTCTGTTCTGTTCTCTCTGTAATAAGCAGTGTATTTATTGACTTCTGTTGCTCTTCCATCAGTCTTCTGGTTAATTGAATTTGTGGCACTTTCTAAAGCTGTGATCTTGTGAATTTTTCTGTGCTGTTGGCAAGGAACTACAGTGTATGCGGTGGGGTTGAGCTTAGTAGGATGAGCCTTACTCTGTGCTGAAGTCTCCCTTGTCCTTCTCAGGTTGCCTCTGTCTCTTTTCTGAGCAGAACAATCAGCTTGGATGTCAAAAAATGTAGATAAATCTCTGCCTGGCCATGGTTCTTCCTAACTATGCTGTGCCTTAATCATAATTTAAATTTTGTACTCTGCAAAACACAAATTTACAGCCTTACCTCCACCTCCTAAACATGATAAACATGAGCCAGCTATTGCCAAGTGGTAATTTCTTCGACAAGGACTGTTTACGTCAGGCAACTGGAATATGCACCAGTCGCAGCTGGCAAATCTGCGGTTGGGTAAGGAACGTTGCAGTCTTACCCACTTGCCCAGCTACTGTGGAACAGAGGAGCCAGGACCAAAAGTTATTTGCTGAGAGCCATAGTTGCAAAAAGAAGTCTCTGTTCCTTAATCATCACAACTGCTGGATTGCAGTTGGAGATGGTGAGGGGGGTGGGGGAGAGAGACAAGTCTTCAACACCCCCCCCACACACACATCCTTTCTCTCTTTTCTTTCTCCCTGCCCCCCCCACTCCTATCTTTGCTCAGACCTGGTGTCTGTTTTCTGTCTCCTGGAGGAATTTTTACAATTGAATCCTAAAGCAAATATAGGCCTGATTATTGCATGTAGCCAACAAATATTCTAGTTGAAAAACTGATGTTTCACCCAGAATTTCATTCTGTTTCAATAAGTCTGACATGGAAGCTTACATTAAAATATAATAATCTTTAAGGTGCCACATATTTTTGTTTAGTTTTGTTCCTTTGGCTTTTGCCTGATAAGCCTAAAGGATGTAAGAGTGACTTCAGTGTTTGTTTCCTGAATAGATTGGGACCTGGGAGTTTGCTTGCACTATGAATGTAAACGAAAACAGTTACGAAAGCCTGCCATTTTAAACTCTTGGATTGACCTCCGGGCAACTTACAAGGTGAGAATCCTAGGAAAATGAAACAATGGTGCAGCTGTAAGTGTTATGTAGGTAATGTTTAAACTGTATGTTTTGCAAGCTGAGTTACTTCATTTGTTTACTGTAATATATTATTCATGGTGTAACTGGAATCCTGTCTTATCAAACTACATTAGATGAAATGTATGGAAAAAAAAAGGCTTCAGTAGATTTCTGTATAGCTTGTAACACTGTTGTGTTTGCTTCTGCTTGACTTCCTGACATTTTTCCCTTGAATTGAATTCATTCAGGGCAAAGACCAGTACTTTTTTCTCCCTTTTCGTTTCCTTTTCTTTGTTCTGTTCATTACTGTGTTCCTCATTGCTGATTTATAGGGGAATAGGGATTAGGGTTTATCTGACTCATCCATGGAGCCTTTTTTTTTGGAAAGAAATAAGTATTTATACCCTTCCTTTTAAGGAAGCAAGTTCTTTCAAAAAAAGCAAATAAGGGCTTCCTGTTTCATAAATAAAATAACATTGTATCAATGTGTTCACAATAAAACAATTCAGACACATACCAAATTGTCAAAATGGTTCCCACAGTTCAGTGGGTGTCAGCTGACTCCGTCTGTGTCGGTGTAAGTGTGTGTGTGTGTGTCCCATCTAATTGAAGCAGATTTAGATTTCTTTTTTGCTTGCTTCCCATCATAGAAGGATATGAATCATAGAAGTTGGAAGGGGCCTATAAGGCCATCTAGTCGAACCCCCTACTCAGTTCAGAAATCCAAATCATGCCATAGGACATTTTAGAGATAGCCCATTGGTTAGAGAAAGACACTCAGTGTATTTATAATGCATAGTTTTAGACGATACGCCTTTAACTGTCATGGATGTAGCTTATGGAATCCTGGGATTTGTAGTCTGATGAGGTGCTCAGAATTTTCACCTGTTATTCTAGGGAACACACTAGAGTTCTCTAGCTGAGAATTTCCCAGAATTCCATAAGATAGAGCCATGGCAGTTAGAGTAGTATCAAGCTGTTATAATTAGATACTGTTGATATATTAATTGACATATTTTGCAGAGCTAGAAGAAATTACCTTTTTGAACAAGAATCCTCCAACTAGCATGAGAAGCTGTGGAAGTTTATTTTAAAGGCTCTGGAATTTGTTTTGTCTCGATATGTTTGTAATGTATATAATACATAAAACCCATGGTAAATATTACTGTACTGATGCATTTTCTGTTTAATAAATATTCAGTAATGGGAGCAGGAACATTCCTTTTTTCTCTTAGCTCTTTTATTCTAGGAAGCCTCAAGGGTTAAATAATGCTCTGCAGGATGTAGGGATTGTATTTGCAGGACGGGAGCATTCTGGTGAGTTGGTTTCATTCCTTCTCATATAACTTGGCCATGTTTATATATTGAGAAGGCAATGTTTATATATTGAGACTGTCAGTATGCCAGTAACAATAAATAATTGGGACCCTTTTCACCATGACTAGATTCATCTACTCCTTTAGTTTCCTATGCTGTGTTTTACTCATTATTCCTTTAAATATGTGCACGACTAGATCTACAACCTTTGAACTTCTGCTTTCCCAAGGTATGGATGATTCCCGGAATACTGCTCGCCTTGCTTGGAGGATGATCCGTGATGGGTGTGTGATGAAAATCACTAAATCATTGGATAAGGTCAGTGGTTTTTCTCCTTCGCACATCTAACTGAAGAATGTAAGCCAAGTAGCCATTTATTGCAACAGACTTAAACTTGGATTTCATCTGGATGGATTCTGAGACAATCTTTTTCTCACTTGCTCTTGACATCCTTTTTCACTGGTTCCCACAATCACGCCACTTGTTTATCAAATCTTTAGGTGCCTCCCCCAAAGAATTCTATTGCCAGATTTTTGAGTTTGAAAGCTACATCTGGCCCACTTTTGGGAAGCAAGGATGGGGCAGAAACGTCATGTTTAGAGAAGAAGAGAAAAGATGAAGTTGCCACAGAAATGAAAAATAACAAAGAAAATCAACAGCAAACGCTCGGTCCTGTGCGTTTACGTGGGGATACCCACGTTCTCTCAAAAACCAAGGCAAACGAGCATGATCTGGTCCCAAGCTGCTTGAATCTCTATGCTGGAAAGCAAAAGTCTTCTCTTGGCCATTTTCAGCCTTCCTCCTCTAACTCTTTGAACATCCAGAATGGGCTAAATAATGAACATCTGATTTCAAATGTTTCAGCAGACAAGCCAGGGCTGGTTTTGGTCCCTACTGTTATTTCCACTGTCAATATTTCCAATATAGACATAAGCACCACTTCTGATTGTTTATCAATGTTGGCTGACTGGGAGGATGTGCCATTAATACCTGAATCACAAGATGATCAAAGTTCAGAATCTTCGCATTTGATGACTGACCTAAATAACGAGACTTTATTAATGGCAGGAGAAAGAATGGAGATGAATCACTCAAAAGTCATGAATTCAGCATCGGAAAGTGTTAGTGAAGATGTGTTAAATATGGAGACGCCAAAATCTATTCAGTACAGAAGCCCTGATACTACTATCTATAATACAGGGATGGGCTCAAGTAAGTTTTCTAATTCTTCTGAGTTTAAGCTCCCTCCCCCAAAGGCAAATATTTCTTCTGCTGATGCCTCAAATTGCAAAAATCTTTTTGCACATTCATCGGATGCTCCTAAGAGGAAACCTTCCAGTCCAAAATATCTTCCTCCAGCAAAAAAAGTACCCTTTGCAGTATACGAAGATAAAGATACTACTTCATCTTGTAATTCAAGTTTGCATGAGGTGTCTTTCACTGTTTTGAAATCCTCAGTCAACTTAAACCAATCTTTAAGGACTACCGAAACTGGGCGAGTGACCCCTCCGTTGTGTAAATGTGGCCGAAGAGCGAGAAGGCTCAGTGTTTCAAATGGTGGCCCCAATCATGGCAAAATATTCTATAGCTGCCCGGTTGGAAAACAGGAGGGGAGCAAAAAGAGCTGTGGTTATTTCAAATGGGAGCATAGCCTCCTAAAGGAGAAACTTACTTCTCCTTCGACTTCAAATGTCAGAGGGCTCTTTTCTCCTAGAACAAGTTGCAGTTCATCAGGAAATTCTCAAAGGAGGCACCTGGGTCTCCGACCTTCTATGAGAACCTAGCACAACCTTTCCTCCTTTGAGTGCTTTATTGGGGAACAATCAGCTCATATCTCTCTAAATCAGAGAGGTTGTTTGACATTGCATCATCGTATTTCTGCAGGTTATTGTGTATGAAGCTGCCAAAGCAAAAATCAAGAAACAAAATGTTTGGGGGAGGGATTTGGTGAGATATCCATCATGTAAAAAGGGTTGAACAGAATTCTGTGAGCTAATGTGAAGAGCTGCTCTTTTATAGCCTTTTGTAAATGTGTTCCTTCTACAAATCAAGGTTGCACATTTTGATCTTTTGTATGCCTTTTATATAAAGACACGCTGCCGTTACTAGATAATAGAATTTTCTAGCTGAACACACATTTGCAGTTGTCTGTATTTTTAAGAAATGATATGTAAAGTAACATGGTTTTAACTTTTTTAAAGCAAACAACTTGACCACTGGTGAAATAAAATAAAAGTACCACAAAATTCCTGAATATTTGCTGTCTGACTTCTTCAACAAAGCAGTTTAAACAACTCCAAAGTAAAACTGGCAACCTTTTCATTGTTGTGATGTTCTTTTTCGGCACTTTTTTGTTCAGTTGTTTATATTGCCATAGCGCTGGAGAAAGCATTTAAAGACTGAGTTGTGCTTGGGTGATTTAAACGCCCCGTCTCTTATTTCTGTGGTTCTTTTATCAACAATTCCGTGTTGCCCGTTTCTAGAGTGTACATAGTAATGTTACGTAGGCTTGGCCACATTGCAGTCAACAGAGATGGAGCCATTCACCAAAATTGGTCTCTAGCCAGCTGTGGATGCATTATGGTGAGCAGAGATTTCCTAAACCACACTGAGTGTAGCTTAGTTTTCTAAAGGAGAAAGTCATCAGTAAACTCTCTAGAACAGTAGTCCCCAACCTTGGGCCTCCAGATGTTCTTGGACTTCAACTCCCAGAAATCCTGGCCAGCAGAGGTGGTGGTGAAGGCTTCTGGGAGGTGTAGTCCAAGAACATCTGGAGACCCAAGGTTGGTGATCACCGCTCTAGAACAGTGGTTGCCAATCTTTGTTCTCCAGATGTTCTTGGACTAAAACTCCCAGAAGCCTTTATCACAAAGTTATCTCTAAGTTTGTGTCCTGCTGCACAGGAGCCTTGCTCTGTGTGTGCAGGGGTGGAATGGAAAGTAAACAAACCTCAACTGAGCTCTGGGTGTGCATGCAGCTTAGAGGGAACCTTGCTTTACCACTTGCTGTGCTGGCCAGGATTTCTGGGTGTTGTAGTCCAAGAACATATGGGGAGTCAAGGTTGGGAATGGATGCTCTAGAACAGCCATTCTCAATGGGGGATATATGGCCCCCTAAGGGGCCCTGGCATATTTGAAGGGGGCCACAGACCGGAAACATCTCTTCGCACACACACTTATAAGGTTAATTGTGTGACCTATATTGTAAATTTCTCTTCGCACACACTCTTAAAAGGTTAATTGTGTGACCTATATTGTAAATCCTGATCTGGCCTATATTTCTTTCATAATGGGTTTGTGGCTGTGGCCAAAGAAAGGTGAAGAATGACTGTTCTGGAACACAAGTGAATAATGTTTGACACTCTAGATGTTGTTGGACTGCAACTCTCCTCATTTTCTACTGCTCGTTGGGACTGCTGGAATCTGCCAACATCTAAGGAGCCACAAGTTGCCTGCCCTAATCTAGAATACTGAAATGACTACTTGGACATGCATTTAAATAGTACAGCCTCAGGTCATTGTCTTGTTGTGTAGTCCCAAGGATGCACAGACCCACAGAATCACCTGCTGAATGATAAATCAACACGTACGTAAGTCTCATTGAATCACTCTAGTTGAAATCAGCAATAGAAACTGGCCAAATTGTATTTTAAATGATCATTTTGCTTTACATGTGGCAGTGAGGAGCCTGTTTACCATTGCAATCCACTGCTCTGACTTTTCAGTGGCTCAGAATTTGCAACGTCATTGTGCTGGCAGGCATCAGATTAAAATGCTGGCCACGAGGAAAATGTGCTTTGCCAGATATATTTTATCTTTCAGTCATTGCCTCAAAAGGTTAGAAAGAAGGCATCATTACCTGGTGTTTTTGACTGCATGTCAAGCTTTGTCGTTTAGCTCCCTGCAGATTCATGGCTCTGTTAAACCTCTGGGCTTTGAAAGCAAAACCTCTTTCTGCAGGGTACACAATGTTCTTTTCCACATGAAACTCAACATCTGGCATTTGAGTTAACTCTCTCCTTTGCTTAACCTGGCAAGCTGCTCGAGGATTCTTACGCACTGGGGTGGAGGGGTGGATAGGAAGATGTTCAACCACAAGTGTTTGCCAAAGTTCTACCCTTGTCCTGTTCATATACTTCAGCTTCCCTCTCCCAGGGTGTGATGGTGTACGTTCTACATAGTGTTGGGCTTTTAAATATGGACACTAGCCCCTCAAGACCTTGCAACACAATGAACAAATACAAAGCTTTTTTACTCTTAGGATGCACACTCTGGAAGTAAACAGGCAGATAATTCTAAAGCTTCCCCCACTCTTTCTTGCGCAGTTCATTTCTCTTGATTTTCCCACTGATCGTCTTTGGCAGATGTGGCACAAACTCCACCTGTTGGACGAGATCAGAATTGGCATCTGGGAAAAGGGAAGATTTGTAGAGCACCGTATATGGCCAAATGTGCCCCACCCCTCCAGACACACACCCAAAGGTGGTTTTTAAAAAATTAGATTTTGCTCAAAAAGCCCCCTTAGGCTGTTTAGGAGATGTGGGAGCCGTTTTGCCATCTTTTGTCCCCCTACATCTTGGCCTCCAAAATCTGGGTGAGGGAAGATATGTCAGGATTTAAGAAGGGAGAGGTAGGGCAGCCATAAGGATCTTTGAGTCCCGAAGGCAACTTGATGGCATATAACAACAACAGCAACATGGGGCAGACCAAGGCTAGTGTAGTATCTGGGAGCAGACAGGAAGCCAGTATTGAGACTTGAATAGGGATGTTATTTGGCCATCAGATCTTAGCTCCCAGAATTCTCCAGACAGCAATAGTCACTGCCTAGGTTGGTGGGGGAATTCTGGCAGTTATCCAAAAAAGAAACATCCCAAGCTTGGGGCCAGCTCATGACTTACCTTTCTAGGATACTTGTAGGGAGCGGTGACCTTTTTGACATGGTCCTGTAGTTCCTTAATCAGTGCTTCTGGATTATGGGACGCATAGTCTGGTGCCAAAACCACAAAAGCTTTCACAACCTTAAAACATAATTACATTTGATCAGAGAGGTTTCGCAGCATTCTTATTTGAGCAGGTGATGCACTTGCATGAGTCAAGAAGTATGTGTTATACCTTGTATTGGCCGGCTGAGGAGCAACTTCAGATCCTTAAAGCTGATTTTTGCATGTAAGTATTTTTCAGGGACTAAGCCAGCTTAATCTCAAGTGTGCCAATTTAAGTGTCATGAGGATCGCTGCTTGTCTATCCCAGTATCAAAAGCTCAGTTTGATTCATGCCACTGAACTTGAAAAATATAACATTTTTAGACAGTAGCTCTTAGAATCCCACAGCCAGTTACCAGAGGTAACTTGCAAACTCTGATTTTGTGACAGGCATTCATTATAGACTGTGTGTACTTCAGAATTCTTTTTTTTTCTTTTTAATTGTACAGTTGGTGTGAACAAAAAAGGCTTTTTGGCATTTTGTTTTCTGCTGTGACAGATGCTCTGCAAAAAATAAATGGATCGGAATGGGGGCAGGTTCCTATGCCTTCTGCAGACACGCAAGTTTCTTGTCTGCAAATTTTATCCTTCAGTTAGTTTGGCAAGTGGTTGCTATAGAACAAAAAGTTCTCAAATATTCCAGTCACTGAGAATAAAAGATTTAAACTTGGTGCCTTTTGCATTTGTACATATGAGCCGGCTTGGGTCCCACAACTGAAAGGTGGCACAGAAATAATTTTTTTAAAATGCATATGTGTGTGTATACTTGCTGAGTTAAATGTATTAAAGAACACAACAAGGACTAGGGTTGTGTGTGGGTTGAGGCCAATTCAGGGTGTTGGAATGAATTCCTATGGAGTGATTGATGTGTCAATTTGTGCCCAAGATTTGAATTAATTTGTAAAACCTCCCATCAATTTTTTTTCATTGAAAAATGACAACAGCTATAACAATTTTGTTTTGATCTCACATGTACGGAATTTAGAGACGCTCGACCCTAAGGGTAAACCCACTCCTTAAATCTCTTACTTACCTTGAAAACCTTTTCAGGGTTGCTATTAGTTTTGACACATAATAACAAGATCCTAAAGGTGGGCGCTCCAACGCTAGAGGAATTGAAGAGAAAACTGAAGAGGCAACCCTCTGTCAGTTCTGCTTTGACTTGGATTCCTGCATTGAGCAGGGGGTTGGGACTTGATGGCCTTCTTGATGGCCCTTCCAGCTCAATGACTCTATGAACAGGGTAGTAAACCTGCTAAATTACAGGGGCTTGCATACTGGGCATTTTAAAATTTTGCTTGTAAAAAGTCTGGAGCAATCTATGCCCCACTGGATTTGATTTATGCTCCGGATCGAAATCAGTTTGTTAAATCTGCTTTTGTCTCCATCCTGGACCAAATCTGGCCATTTCACTTCTGGTCTGAACATCATACAACTTAATCTGAATCTGATTGGCTTTAAAAGGAAACCAGACAAATTCATGGAGGATAAAGCTATCAGAGGTGAAAAAAGCTGGCTGTGAGAGGAGCCAGTTTAGAAGAAAATAGTTTTTTCCCATCCAGGCTTTTGTAGCTCTTTTGCTGGGGAGCATGAGCCAGAATGTGCTATTGCCCTCCTGTCCTATGTGAGACCTTGCAGTGATCCAGTGGATTGGCCACTGTGGAGAAGGATGCTGAACTAGAAATTCCTTTGAACTGGTCCAGCCCGGGTTCTCTTATGTTTTTAGCTGGCAGTGATGCATTTACTCTGAAGGCAAGGGAATACTGGTTGCACGGAAGAACATATTTGTTTGTGAGGGATTTCATGCTGCTGATGGTGTTGAGAGTTGGCCAGCACTCAGACAACGTCATGCAGAAGGCCTCGGGTTGAGTCCTCTCATCTGCTCTGGATCCCAGGATGTCCTGGTGGGGAGGCTGGTAAAGACGGTTGTCTTGTATCTTTGGAGAACCACTGCTGAGGGTTGGCCAGCACTCAGTTAGACAACGTCATGCAGAAGGCCTCAGGTTGAGTCCTCTCATCTGCTCTGGATCCCAGGAAGGTGAAAAAAGCTGGCTGTGAGAGGAGCCAGTTTAGAAGAAAATAGTTTTTTCCCATCCAGGCTTTTGTAGCTCTTTTGCTGGGGAGCATGAGCCAGAATGTGCTATTGCCCTCCTGTCCTATGTGAGACCTTGCAGTGATCCAGTGGATTGGCCACTGTGGAGAAGGATGCTGAACTAGAAACCTGGTAAAGACGGTTGTCTTGTGTCTTTGGAGAACTACTGCTAATTAGTAGATGGATCAGTGGTTAGACTCAACAGCAGATTGCACAGGCTAAATATTCAGCCAATTCGAGATCTACTCGAGTCACTTGCTATAGCCAGGAAAGACGGCTGGGGGGCCTAACACCGAGAGAGGCCCGAAAAGAAAGAACAAGAAACCGGGCCTTCTCAGCAGTGGCCCCTCGGCTGTGGAACAGCCTTCCATCAGAGATCTTCCTGGCTCCCTCGCTGGGTGTTTTTAAGAGCCAACTTAAGACCTGGCTCTTTAGGCAGGCCTTCCTTCCTGTCAATACTTGATTTTTGCTTTTTTATTTAATTTCCATCTACACTTTTCCCGTTTTGATTAATACTTTATTGTCGATTTAATTGTTGCTTTAACTGTTTTATGAATAATTTTATTGTAAGCCACCCTAAGTAGACATTGTCTAGAAGGGCGGGATAAAAATCAAATAAATAAATTAAATAAACATTCCTTGCCTGCAAGTCCTTTGTTTACATGCATCCAAGTCTGTAATATATATATATTTTACCTCTCCTCTGATGGGATCTGGGCTGCTAACGACTGCCGATTCTACCAAGAAGAACATCTTTGTTTGTGAGGGATCTCATGCTGCTGATGGTGTTGAGCAGTGGTGTCGAACTGTGGCCCTCCGGAAGAACATATTTGTTTGTGAGGGATTTCATGCTGCTGATGGTGTTGAGAGTTGGCCAGCACTCAGACAACGTCATGCAGAAGGCCTCGGGTTGAGTCCTCTCATCTGCTCTGGATCCCAGGATGTCCTGGTGGGGAGGCTGGTAAAGACGGTTGTCTTGTATCTTTGGAGAACCACTGCTAATTAGTAGATGGATCAGTGGTTAGACTCAACAGCAGATTGCACAGGCTAAATATTCAGCCAATTCGAGATCTACTCGAGTCACTTGCTATAGCCAGGAAAGACGGCTGGGGGGCCTAACACCGAGAGAGGCCCGAAAAGAAAGAACAAGAAACCGGGCCTTCTCAGCAGTGGCCCCTCGGCTGTGGAACAGCCTTCCATCAGAGATCTTCCTGGCTCCCTCGCTGGGTGTTTTTAAGAGCCAACTTAAGACCTGGCTCTTTAGGCAGGCCTAACAGCAGATTGCACAAGCTAAATATTCAGCCAATTCCTTGCCTGTAAGTCCTTTGTTTACATGCATCCAAGTCTGCCTTGCCTGCAAGTCCTTTGTTTACATGCATCCAAGTCTGTAATATATATATTTTACCTCTCCTCTGACGGGATCTGGGCTGCTAACGACTGCTGATTCTACCACAGAGGGATGTTCTATCAAAGCGCTTTCCACTTCAAATGGCCCAATCCGGTATCTTTATTAAAAGACAGAGAGAGAGAGAGAGGCCTTTGATGGACCGTTTGTTATATAGCTTATGATAAACAGTGAGAAGCATAATATTATATAGGCTGCAAACTTGGTTCATGTTACCCAGCAGAATTGATGACATCATCTGCTCTTCCTATGAACCAGAAGTAGCCTTCTTCATCCCTCATCCCTCTGTCCCCAGTGACATAGAAGCTCCCACGCATGGTTGAAGCTGTTCTTTCTGGATCGTCCTGGTATGCGTGAACAGATATTAGCGAAAGCATTAATTGGCTGATATAAAGAATTGGAATGGAGGAGTATTTTTTAAGAAACATTGGCCTGAAATCCTGTTGCTTACCATAGTTACATTCCAACTGGAGTAGGCTCGTAGAATCAATGGAACTTACAGAGTGAACTTACAGACCGATGCTCTACTTTTGAATTGCTATGCTAAGCAACAGTATTTTGGTCCTTGTAATTTGAAAGATAAATATACACAGCTTGTTTAAAGAAACCAGATCGCCTAATAGCATAAAATTCAATGGAGAATGAAAATAAAAATTAACAGTACAGAAAAAGAGCACGTAGAAAACTACAGAACCATAACATCCAGGAGGAGTACAGTAATTACTTTAGGCAATTACTTTTCATTTTCCAGTATGATTTGGTATCAGTGTTACTTTTTGTTGGCTCTGTGACCATATAACGAAAATCGTTAGTTTTTTGATCGTTAGTTTGCCTAACATTCATATGACCAGGCCTGTTGGAATGGTTGAAGAAATGTAGTGAACAAGCCAACACATTTATTTTATTGAATGGAATGCCAATGAAACTGTGAACAACATTGGGCTGGGACGTGGGAGATGAGGTTTATAGTTTGTAGTGTTCCACAGGTGACCCTGGGTTAATCGCAGTCTCACCTTGGCTTACCTGGTAGACGTTGTGGGGGAAAAAGTAGGAAGAAGGAGAGCTGCCTCCACCACCTTCTGGTCAGCTGCAGAAAGGCGAGAAATATAGTCTCTCTTGAATTCTTACCGCATATTGAGTGAAAAGGCAAAATGGCCTGTTCGGTTTTATTCGGATAGCAATGTCTCCTTCTCTTCCAGGGGGCAAAATGTTTCCGTCCTCATCTATTATCTAAAAGCAAATGGTAAACAAGGCAGATGACAGTTAAAGAGGATATTGTTATTTTTGAATTTACGGGTCACAGATTTGAATGGGGCAAAGGAGCTGTGGGGCACCAGGTCCAGCATCTTGGAGCTAAAAAAAGACCCCTATTTGAAATCTAGTGGAAGTGCCCAGTGCCTAGTCACTGTAGCTGCTGTTGCTTTGTGTCTCTTCTGACTCACAATGCCCGGTATGAGCGAGCGACTTCTGACCCAGCCTACCTTGCTTGGGTCTTGCAAACCCAAGGCTGTGTCTTCCTTCATAAGCCAATCCACCTCACATTTGGGCTTTCTCTTTTCTTGCTGCCTTCCACTTTTCCTAGCATTCTTGTCACAGCAAATAATAGCCCAAGGGTTCGTTTGAAAGTGTGGGCAGAGAGGGAGTTGTAGCCCCACTCTGCTGCTTCTGGCTGTCTCCATGGAGAGAGGGACAGCCTGGAGTTGGAAACCTCAGCTACGGTGTGTGTGTGTGTGTGTGGGGGGTCTCCATGTCACTGGAGGTTCTGAGATGGTCCTGGTTGGACACTCTAGACGCAGCACCCTGGCTCTTCTCCACACAGCCCCTCTCCCTGCAGGATCAGTGGCAGGCTGCGGTGTGAGGCTGCCCCCCCAGTCAAATCAATTCCCCCCCCCCCTGAATGCCTGCACTGAATCCAGATAAATCCATTGCAAGGAACTTCCTTCAAAGGCTGAAAGGTGTGTCACAGATTTAATTGCAAAGTCGTTTGGGAGAGGAGATGCACTCTAGCCGTGGGAAAAGAAGCAGCAGCAAAGTGTGGGACGGAATTGCCGGTTGAATGCCCTTATACTGCCGGCAGCAACCATGCTTTCGGTGGGCCATTTGGATTTCTTAGCATGAGAAAAAACCCACACAATTGCAGGGAAGCCACCAAATGAGAGTATCATAGCTTGCTGGGGAATCTCAGAGGGCCAGCAGGCCTGGGAAGGTCTGTGACTTCACCTTCTCCTCTCTTGAACGTGATGGATCAATGACCTGAGTTAACACAGGTACAAACCTCTAATGGGGACACCTGCTAGAGGCCTGTCCTTATGCTGGGTAGTGCCGGACAGAAACAATCTGTTCAAATTTGTTCCACTTCCTCTGCCTTCTACTTAATTCTCTCTCCCTTCATCTAGTCCAGCCCAGTGCCTTGATCAAGTTTATCTATCTAATGCATCCAATCTGCCCCTGTTCAAAGAAGTTTCTTGACGGGATTTCTCTCCTTTGTAGAAATGAATGAGACAACACAGGAAACACTGGAGGGCAAATAAAGAGCCAACAAGTAAAGATGAGCAAACGCGACTTAAGACGTTTGTCTAGAAAAGAAACCATTTTGAATTCTTACAATATGTGGGGTGTCGCCCCCCCCTCCACTTCCTTCCCATTGTCTCTCCTAGTTCATTTCCCAGGGATTTCTGACTAAACTGAACGTTGGACCAGAGAGATCCTTGGCCTAAACCAGCACAAATCCTCTTATGTTCCCCCAGTCTCTCCTCCTGATCTCTCGTTTCCCATACCTTTCCTTCTCCAGGAATGGCCAGTGCTGTACTAACTTTATGCTGGGCAGGGATCCACTGGTGGGTTTTGAATCCCATGAAAATCCGAAATTACTCTTACTGAGTTGCAATTTAATCAGGTTCAGCCCCAGGGATTGGCAGTGCAGGGTGTCCGCCCAGGGCCCACTGCCTTACCCACAGATTTTCTTGGCACCACTCCTTTGATGCTCCCACCTCCCATTCATCTGCCCTCTCTGAGCACTGCAAGCAAGGAGCCACAAGAGTGTGAGGTGGCCGTATCCACCTCCTTTGCATTCTCGTTCTGGGTGGTTGTGGGGGGCGGAGGCAGAGGAAGAAGGCTAATGAATGGGTTACAGGGGCAAGGTGAAGGGTGTGTGTGTATGTGTGTATACACACACACAATCAGAGCAGACCACAAATGAGCCAGTGCTGCATATGGTACCTGAGTGTCATAAGCAGGAGAAGGTTTCCCCATGGAACCCGGCTTAATCCTCATCCCTTTGAAAGTTCCACAAACCAGCACCTATTTGAAGGAGATAAAAACAAAGAAGGCCTTAAATTAAAGACTTGAAAGAGTTTCATATCTCTGTGTTTGTGTGTGTTGCCCGGGTGCAGCCTGGTGACCTCCTTTACTCAGAAACTGTTACCACACTGAAGGCTGAATGATGGTTATTTATTAACCCCCCCATGCAAACGCAGTTACATATTAATCAGGTGATTAAATGTTTAATTCGGGGGTGGGAAACCTTCTCATCCCAGAGGTCTCAGATAATGAAATCCTGAAAGGATTGACCGTCCAAGGGACTGCAGCTTCTCAAACCCAAAATCTCCGGAAGGTCAGAAGTTGCCCTTCCCTGACCCTGTATTTGCAGCCCTCGACGCACCGGCATAAACAGGATCTTGCTTTATATATGAGAATATGAGATTTGACGCCAGCTGTATGGAGGCAGTAAGAGTCTGCACGGTCCTCACAGACATACGACAGAGCTTACCGTTTCGGTCTGCCCGTAGCCTTCATAGATGTCAAGCCCCGTTTCTTCCTTCCATTCCTCCATCACTTCAGGGTTCATGGGTTCTCCCGCACTCAGGCAGTGTTTCAGGCTGTGGAATTTGTAACTTTGGATAGAACAGGAGAAAGGAGAAAAGGAAACGTGTAACTTGTAAATTGGAGAGAATGGTTGGACAAACCTCATCACCCATCTCCAGAAAAGGACAAAAGCCTATCCCACAGCCATAAATACTGCACTCCCAAAGCCAGCTACACCAGAGCACAGAGTGCTGTCCTCTGAAGATGCCCATGGCCACTGAGGCTGGCGAAACGTTAGGAAGAACAACTTTCAGAACAGGGCCAAAGAGCCCGAAAAACCCACAACAACCATTAGATCCCGGCCGTGAAAGCCTTCGCGAATAAATTGGAGAGAAGCTCGTAGAGCTTGAAGAGTGAACGAGTGGGTTTCTTAACAATCAATCTCTTGGCTTTGGTTCCTTCCCCCCCCCTTCCCCACTATTACAGAAGGCAAAAGGAAAGACAGAAGGGGCAGCCTGACAGTGCATCCATCCAGCCTAGGATTGCCAACTCTGACTGGCAGCAGCTCTCCAGGGTTCTAAGCAGGGTCTTCTTCGTAGCCCCACCTGGAGACCTCTGGTGGTCTCCCACCTGAGTAAGAGCCAAGCAGCCAAAAATCAGAGGAGAGGCATGCAAAACCCTTCAAGCTGCTGTAAATGGAGGTGTCTGTAGCAGGCAGGCAACAGTTCACTGTTTGGGTACATGATGGGAACCGCAAGCCAACAACTTTGAGAGAGCCATGGGCACCCACTTCGGATTTACTCGTTTCTAATGATTGGCTCTTGTTGCTAATTTGTCTAAAGAACATCACGTATAGACGGTGTCTGTTCTTAATGCTTCTTTTCCAGTTAGGAGGGGAAATGGCAAGGAAGGCTGCACTGTTATGCCCAATCAATGACTGATTCCATTCCACCATCTCTGTAGCCTACGGCAATGGTTCCTAACCTTGGGCGAGCCAGGTGTTCCTGGACTACAACTCCCCAAAAATAGTGAGTGCTTCTGGGTCTTGCCGCCCAAGAACTCTTGAGTTACTCAAAGATGGGGACAATTGATCTAATCGAAATCCCCTTCCAAACGATAGCCCCCTGCCCTGATCCGAATGATGGCTTAGATGCTAGGAATCATTTGCAGCAGCTTTTGAACTTTCTCCCTCTTCCCTCACACAAGAGGAACATAATTAAAGCATCTAGTTTAACTTTGAAACAAACAACAGTTCCATGTCACATGTAAACTCAAGGAACTGTTCTAAGCAAACTTAGTTTATCAATGAGTATCAGAAACCACAAGCGGAAAGAAATTAATCTGCTTTGCTGAGCGCAAGCAACAGTTGCCCAAGTTTGGGCATCAAAAATACCTGCACTTTGTTTCAGAGTAAAAGAAGCTTTTCAGGTCCCCTGTTTATATTTAAAAGGAAAGAAGTGTTAGAGGACTGTGCAGAGTTAAAATTGATGCAAGTTATTCCCAATAATAATTTAACAATGGCTTAGATTGTTATCTCAACAAGATCACAGTGGAAGCAATACCAATATTTGAGCCTGTAAAATCACAAGGAACAAGCGCTTCTTTACCTGCTTAAATTGTGATGAACCAGCATCCGATAAGCCGTTGGAGGAGAACAGAATGTTGTTACCGGAAACCTTGACAGAGTCTAAAGGGAGACAAAAGACAGAGCTTAAAAACACCAACTCAAGTTTAATGCTGGGTACAAACCCAAACTTTATTTTCTTTTTGCAGAATATAACATTGGGGAGACAACAACAGAAGAGAGCGGAAGGCAAGGAGATGTATGTTGTTTGTTATACAGTTTTAATGACATTGCTATGACCAATTGTATCTTTATGTTCACACAAATTACAGTAGTGCCTCACAAGACGAAAGTAATTCGTTCCGCGAGTAGCGCTGTCTTGCTAAATTTTCGTCTTGCGAAAAGCGGTTTCCTGTAGGAATGCATTGCAATGCATTCCTATGGGAACTTCGCAAGACAAATGAATTATTTTTTCTTGCGAGGCATCAGTCTTGTGAAAAAAAATCGTCTTGCAAAGCACAGTCATGGAAGAAGCAGTCTTGCGAGGCACCACAGCGATTGCAAAAACCGTCTTGGGTTTTTCGTCCCGCGAGGCGTTCGTCTTGGGAGGCACCACTGTATTGCCTTTTACTACATTTTGTTTCAAACGGCATTCCAGAGTCTTCAGATGGGCAGTCCAACTCTTTAAAATATTATAAATGCTAAAATATGTGCACCAGTACTTTGAAATACAGTGGTGCCCCACTAGATGATTGCCTGCAGTACTTTGAAATACAGTGGTGCTCCACTAGACGATTGCGTCACAGGATGTGGAAATTGCTAGACAATGGGTTTTTGTGAGCGCTATAGGGATGTGGAAATCACTAGACAATGGGTTTTTGTGAGCGCTATAGTGCTTCGCAAACCGCCTTTCCCTATGGGTGATTTTCGCTGGACAAATTCGCTGGACGATCTTTCATTCCGCGCCTCGCAAGACGTTTTCCCCCCTGGGACCGATGCCTCGCTAGACAACGATTTTGACAGCCTTTCGTTCCGCACCTCGCAAGACATTTTCCCCCCTGGGACCGATGCCTCACTAGACGACGTTTTTGACAGATGATTGGCAGTTCGCAAAACGGTTTCCCTATGGGTGATCTTTGCTGGACGATGACGATTCTTTCCTATTGGAACACATTAAATGGATTTCGATGCATTCCAGTGGGGAACCGTGCTTCGCTAAACAATGTTTTCACAAGACAGTGATTTTGACAGAACGGATTAACATTGTTTAGTGAGGTGCCACTGTAACTGGAGGAGTGGTTAACAACCAGGTGGGCCTGAGAATCTCGACCCTTTTGATCTTTCTGGGCAAATACTCTTCGATTACGTTCTCCAAATCCTTTCCATGATGGTTCTGTGCTGGCTTCAGGAGACATGCACACCTAAAAGCCAATTTTTGGCACGTATATACTCAAATCTAGATTTCATCGGAACAAATTTTTTGGAACAAAAATACAAGCGTTCCCTTTCCTATGAGCGTCCTGACAGATCAGGACTAATTCCTAAAGCAGACATTGTTCTTGGGAATAATGTAGTTTCTTTAAGAACTCTTTAATCCATCCAGTGCTAACCACTGCTTAATGTAATGGTTAGTACTAGATGAATTTGAGTTGCTGAAGTCTCTATCAGCCATGAAACATGCTAGCTATGCTGGCTGGGGGAGTGATAGTTACAGAAGGGTAACTATTCTAAGCTTTGGCATGAGGTTCTTATCTGCCTCCTCCAGAGCTAAACTTCTGTCACACTCTGTGTTTGGACAGGGTGTCTGAACTCACAAACCGGCTATGCATAGTGCTTTACACACACATTCACCATAGCTCTGTGCCACAGAAGTGGGGAAACCAAACAAGACATTTAGCTATGAAACAGGGCTTGACTTTTTATTCAGAAACTCCAGCCTAGCTTCTAAACCATGGTTAGCATAAACCATGGTTTGGCATGATGTTTCAGTTCAGCCAGTGCCCCAATCCTAGTAAAAAGTAGGATGAGACGTGGTGCTTGTGGACACGGGTTGGGTTGCAAACAAGCTGCATACCATAGCAGTCAGAAGACTGTCAGATTCTACTTATTTTATTTTTATTTATTACATTTATACCCTTTGTTTGCATGAAAAGATAGCATTCAATGTGGCTTACAAATTTCTTAAAAGAATATTGAAAAAACAAAGCCCCATTTAGCTAAACAATAATAAAATCATGCAAGCCAAGCCCATTATAAACTATTACAATCAATTACATATTTTTAAAACCATTAAAATCAAGAAAGGATACAGCTAAAACAACACAGCAGGGCAGGTTTAGACACCACATGATAGCCTAAAAAGATACGTTATTTCTTCCGTTCTGAAAAAAGTCAGATTCTATGGGTCCCACTAGAGCATCAGTATCTTCACCTATTTGGTTGTGTGAACTGGTCTTAAGATCATGCTAAAAGAAAGTTGTTGTTTTGCACAAATGCAGGTATGCCTGTTACTTACTTCTAGGACAGGCTTTGGCTCAAAACGTGGCATGCTGTGTACAAACACACACGCTCCTTGGATCCAGGGTGCAAAAACACTGCTCCATGCTGATTTTGCCCAGCCTGTGTCTGACGTATTCCACATTACGTCCAAGGGGGTCAAATCAAGCCAATATCTAAGGCAAAGGAAGGCAGTATATCAAAAGTTATTTTTGCAAAGGAGAACAATTGCTGTCATGTAGTGACATCTAGGTAAAGGTAAAGGATCCCCTTGACATTTAGTCCAATCGTGTCCGACTCTAGGGCGTGGTGCTCATCCCCGTCTCCAAGCCGTAGAGCCAGCATTTGTCCATAGACGGTTTCCGTGGTCATGTGGCCAGCACAACTAGATACGGAATGCCATTACCTTCCCACCGTGGTGGTACCTATTTATCTACTTGCATTTTTACATGCTTTCGAACTGCTAGGTTGGCAGGAGCTGGGACAAGTGACGGGAGCTCACTCCGTTGCGTGGATTCGATCTTATGGCTGCTGGTCTTCCGATCTTGCAGCACAAAGGCTTCTGCGGTTTAACCCCCAGCGCTACCCATGTCCCTTTTGACATCTAGAAGACTGCAAATCTCAAGTTACTGTTACCCACCCAACACTGTTAATCTGAATGATTCACTTTGAATTAGATATTCACTTTGAATATTTAATTGGAACATAATACCAAATTGTTGTGCCTTACTGCTTTGAATGTGTTTTTGATACTACTTTTGTTTCCCATTTTGTATGTGTGGTGTGTGATCCTTTTTAGGATTTGTATACAGTGGTGCCCCGCATAGCGACAATAATCCGTTCCGAAAAAATCGTCGCTATACGGATCCGTCGCTATGCGGAACAAAGAAGGCCAAAGGAATGCATTAAAACACGTTTAATGCATTCCTATAGGCACAAAACTCACCGTTCTGCGAAGATCCTCCATGCGGCCGCCATTTTTTTGCACCCGAGGAATGGGTGCGAAAACACAGCGGGCGGCCATTTTATTTACCTGGCGGCCATTTTGGAACCACAGATCAGCTGTTTTAAAAACATCGCTATGCAAAAATTGGTAAGCAAAACGGTTACCGATCATCGCAAAGCGATGTTTTACCATTTAAAAACATTGCAATGCGATCGCTTTTGCGATCGCAAAAAACACATTGCTATGAGGATTCGTCATTAAACGAAGTGCTCGTTATGCAGGGCACCACTGTACTTATTTATTTTAGCTTTAAATATTGTCTTTCAATAATGGAAACCACCCTGGGTCCTTTTTAAGGAGAAAGGCAGGGTAAAAATATTTTAAACAAACGAATTGCAAACTTTTACACTGACAATAATTTGGTGAGTCTGAGCCTTATTCGTTTCCGAGTAGATTCAGGACTACAGGCAGCATCTTCCAGTCTCAGAGTGCTTTTCTTGAATCTACCAGTAGATCAGATGCAAAGCAAGGAAATACAAGCAACCTACAAATTCGTCCATACTTTCCATTTACACCGAGTCCAAGTCCATGACTGCCATGAGAATGTTCAGTCATTTTGGGAGTGCCGGTTGAGCCACTGGTGAAGTAGATTGCCATGGGCTCATGGCTCTTGGTGGCTGTACAGCTGTGCTCAGCAGGTGCACGTCTGAAAGACAGAGCATGTAAAACTGCATGAAGGAACCAAAACCGTTGAACGCAGACTTTTGCCAATACTAATTCCTCCCATGGGACTACAGGTAGGGGTGACTGATTTCCCCGTTCTATTCTTTCTTGTTCTCTACCCATAAAACAGAAAACACACCTTTTTCGCAGAAAAGTTCATCTCTGGTTACCTTGAGATTTCCTCATTTCAGGAGCATAATTTAGGTGAGAAAAATCACTCTTCCAGAGAGAGCATTTGACTCCTGCCCTTTTTGTCATTTTGTGCTAGAGAACCATGCATGCATTTAGTCTTCAAGAAAAGATGCTTTTCTTTGAGATTTTTCTCCAAGAAATCTTTTAAGAAAATTTAAAGAAATCCACTTCACTGTTACGAGCATCCATATTGGAATGAATTTGTTTCTTTCTTCTGAGTGCTAATTGAAAGTTTCCAACTAGGAGGCTCTGGCAGAGCTATGAGCTTCAAATGTGAAGTATCAGAGCAGCGAGTTTTGTGGCTGATAGAAAGCAGTGCTAAAAATAAACCATACTTTCAGGAAAGGCAGAAAGGAGTGGAGAGTCATGGAAAAGAGCACTATACTAAGGGGGACAAGAAAAATGTCGTGTGGATGGTGGGAAAAACACAGTAGCCTGAGTTACTGTGAAACATGGTATTTTAATAAGCACACATGCTCTTTCTGGAAGAGCCCCTAGGGACAGTAAGATGCTCTATAATTATCCCTATCCCCTTAAACATCTTTCCCACCATAGAATTTCTGCTTATAGGTCTGATGTCATAGCCATTGAGTTTAACTCATAGAACCTTTGATTTGTTAAACAAGGAATCCCTTGAACTTCCAACGTTCCCTTCAGGACAAACGTGTCCCCTCCATCCGTCCAACTGGCAGGTCTTCATACTTACTTCAACAAGTCGTTGAAGTGCAGCCAGCCTTCCCTATGTTCCTGTGACACAATTAGTTTACATTCTAGAGATGGGCATTTGGAAGCAACCGCCTCTACAGTCGGGGCCAGAATGTGGTCTGTAATTATACACCTAGCTTTAGATGCCTTTAGTCGGTAGAGAAGATCTTTCTCGGTCAGCTGCGTTGTCCCAGGAATAAGGATTGTTCCTAATGGGAGAATCAAATTAGAAACATTAATAATAACCTTATATCACTTCAGAAGGCTGTGACATTAGTTTTCTTTGGACGCAAGAGCCCCAGTGACTGGGCAACACTGAGAAGCAGTGTTACACACAGGCTAAAACAAAAGCCTAACATTGGCAAGCTCTGGGTTCAAATTCACAGTCACCTTCGAATATGTGAAGGACATTTTGGGCAATCATAGTTTTATAGTTTGCTGCACTTTAGAGCATTTCCATTAGGATAAAGCCAGCAGCGAGGCCTGCGTGGTTCAAGCCAGAAGGAATAAAGAGACAAAAATGTATTAAATATAAGGAAAATCTGGCTGGTGCAAATAAAAAACCCAGATCCTACCATTTCTCACAGGCACATTTATTTATTTATTTATTAGGGTGCCATCCGATAGAGTAGATATCTGATTGAGAAAGCCACTGGCAGCTATTGAACTTTATGGTTTTAAAAAATGTAGCGTGTCAGAGTAGCATTGGGAAGACCCAGGTCTGAATTTTCACACAGCCTTGACGCTCCTTGGATGACCAGTCACTCTTCTTTTAACCTAACTCACAGAGAAGTTATATGCCACTAGACATTGATGGACCATCATTATGTGGTAACATTGTGGGGCCCTTTTATCAATGCGCTTGGCTGAAAAGAGTAGACCTTTGGTTTAGATGGGCGGGATAGAAATCTAATAAATAAATATAAATAAATAAAACGTTGGCTGTGCTTCTGACGTCCCCTCGGCTCTGCCTAAAATGATACTGGTCTCTGCAGCACCAGCCTCCACGGGCACCAACCACCACTGTGTATGGAGGTACTTCCAGTCATAAGTGCAGAAATAATAGCAACTAAAAGCAATGTTTCCAAAACAAAACCACTGGCCAGAATGTCGTAGAGACTGTTCAGCTGCCAGCCACCAAACAACAGAACTGGAAAGGACAGGTTTTGATCACGGATGCAGAGACCTGTTCCTCTTGTTCCCTCTTCGTCTCTGGCAACCGGGTCTACCGTGGTCTAGTTGGCAGCCGGATGCTGCGACTGCGTACCTGTTCGGATGCAAGCCACGTTCAAGAGCCACCATTCTGGGATTCGGGGCAGAATTAAGATCACTCGATCTCCCTTCTGCAGGCCACACTGTTCCGAAAGCACCCGGGCTGCTTTCTTGGACGCGAGAGCCATCTCGACAAAGCTCCACTGAACTTGGTCTCCTTCCTCGCTGACCCACCACAGAGCCGGATTCGAAGGCCGCCTTCCTCCCTGGTGGAAGACAAGAGCCAGCTGAATCAAGACTTGCGCTCTTGATCCTGAAGTTGAAAGGAGTAGCTCTGGTGTCTAAGGTCATCAACAGATGGAGCTACTCAATTGCCATGGCTCCAGCTAACTGGACAGTGTTTCAGAGGGACTGGGTCAACTGAGCCAGGAGGGCCACCAGCATTGACCTAGAGAAAGGCTGGACTGAGGCTGTGAGCCTTGCGAGGATGAGAGAACTGAGCTTTTTGGCAGTGATGCCATGGTCTCCGCTGAGCTGCCTAGCGCTAGCCATTTTCTGTTGGTACTGCTGCTGCTGCTCACGATGCAACTGCATTTCTATTTCCCTGGGTTATAAAATAGGTAATTAAAGGCACCTTGCCATTCCCCTTTTTTGTTGCTAGTGCTATTTTAATACAGTGGTGCCCTGCTTGACGACGATAATCTGTTCCACGAAAATTGCTGTTAAGCGAAATCGTCGTAAAGTGGAAAAAAAAACCCACTGGAATGCATTGAAAACCGGTTAATGCGTTCCAGTGCGGAAATACCTCACCATCCAGCGAAGATTGCCCATAGAGAACTTTGTCATGGTGTGATGCATTTTTTTCTAGGATGGCTACTTGTATAACTGCCAAAAAAGGAGAGCATGTCTCAGCCCCCAAAAAAGCTCAGATCTGCTAAATTTTCCATATGCTGCTTTATGTAGAGATGCAAAATAAATACTCATTTTTGCAGTCTAAAGGGAGTTACAGTGCATCTCACCCAAGTGGAGAAAACTGCCCAGGCATCCTATGTGCCCACCGAGGCTGTTGCCCCAGTACTGCTAACTGTGGCTGGGAAATTTCAAGGCTCCCTGATTTCCTCCCTGCAGTATTTTAGATTCAAATCAGACTTTGACTGAACATCTCTTCAGAATTCCTCTGTAATAGAAGAGGTGCGGTCAAACGTTCTGTTTTTTTGTTTTTTTTTAACTACTGTGGAGGTTTGTCTTTCCAAAGGCAATTTTTTTAACTCCGCAAAACCATTGGGTTACCCCCCCCAAGCCTGCTGATACCTCCATCTTATGAGTATATAGATCCATTTTTGCTCCACAAGGACCCTACACGACAAGGCTGTCATTTGCTATAGGATGGAATTTAGAGCACCCACTTAGGAGACAGCAGAATTTAAATGAAATCAATGTACTTGCTACGAATCTATGGTAGGCTTTGAAGGCTGGTATATGCTTGATCATAATGAATTTGCAAAAGCATAGGGCTTTTCCAGAAGTTAAAAGGCATACGTGACAGTGAACCTGTTGGAGGCTGGCAAAAGAAGAAACCCAGAAGTGGCTTCTATCGATGACCTCTACTCAAGAAACTGCAGCATGTATTGTGAAAGCATTAGAAAAGCTTGTATTCTCTCTGCTTTTGTCTTTGTTCTACCCTAGGTAGTCTGTGTCCTTGCATGCATGCTCTTATAGTTAAATAATTCCTGCGGAGAACAGTCTTTTTGCTATTAATATCACCAGGTGACCATGTACAGTAAACACTTGAAAGGAAGACATAACAGCACATTATACCATTTCTGCCTCGGCCCATTTATCCACCACATCTTTGGCAAAGTTGAAGAACTCTGGCACTTCTGGCTTATACTCTCGATGGATGGATTCGTAGTCTGAAAAATTCTGCCCCGCTCGGGCTAGCTGGTGTTTGCTGAAGCATCTTGTAGAAGCTAAGCCCAGTCTCTGAAGAATCTTCCAAACCACACCTTTCTGTAGTGTCGTCAAAGCGATGAAGGCCATCATGTGTTTTCCACAATGTTGCGCATTCAGTCCACTTGTAATGAGCTGCCTATCTGAAAGGCATAAAGAGAAAAGTTGCGTAGAAGAGAGATCAGTGGCTCCTTTCGCATGCAGGAATTTTTGAAAACAACCCCACCAAAGTGTGTTGAACACGAAAGAAAGCATTCAGACTAATTCTCTCTCTCTTCCTCCACAAAACACACACACCACTCTGGAATTACCATAACTGTTGGAATTACTAGCCACCTTTGAATGATGCCTTTAAGAGGTTTCACCTGGAAGGGACCTTTCTGGACTGGGGTGGATGTCAGTCAATCCAAGAGCATCCAATTATTCCCTGTCTGCCTCAGATTTTTGAAGAGAGTCACACCTCGCAAAAAATCTGGCCCCACATCTTAGTCATATAATCTGGAGATAGTCTGAGTTGTGTATTTTATTCAGACAGTGTGAGTTAATGTAGTTAGTACAGTGGACCCTCGACTTACAGATGGCTCGACTTACGGTCTTTTCGAGTTATAGACTTCTCTGGCCGCAAAATTTAGATTCGACTTGCAGCCAGAGAATCGACTTACAGACCAGAAAAAAACCAAAATGGAATAAAAATAGAATAAAACCACTGGTTATGGGATTAATCGGTTTTCAGTGCATTGTAGGTCAATGGAGATTCGATTTACAGACTTTTCGACTTGCAGCCACCGTTCCAATACGGATTAATTCCTTAAGTAGAGGGTCCATTGTATGTAGTTACGAAGCTAGTTAACCAGTTAAGCTCTGTTCATGTAACCAGTCATTATTATTTTTACAGAATGCTGTTTATTTTTATCTATTCAGAGCTATGAATAAAATAAATTTCTACGCTCGGCCAATATGAACTTCTGAGCAAACACAGAAGACACAGTGTTTATTTGTTGCAACATTATTCCGCTTTCCCTGCAGGGATCTTAAGCACATACTTTTCTTCCTCCAGGTTTTATTCTCTCAAATGTGCCATGTAAAGTAGATCAGGCTGATATTTATTTATTCATATTTTATATTGTTGATTGTAAAAAGAGATGTAACTTTCCCAAGTCAGCTGTTTCTAAATTAATATATTTTTTTTCATTTTATGCTTAGCTCCTGAAGAAGGCCACTGTCGAAACGCATTGAGTCTGAGCTTTTTAGGCAAGAATAAAATCTGCATCGCCAACATTTATATACATCTTGAGACTCAGTCTCCCATTTGTCACCAGTGAATGCACTAGATCCCTCTGCCTTGTTTGACAGCATAGTATATAACATTTATGACAGCTGCTATAAAAACAAGACCTGATATGATGCCCTGAATTTTAACTGTTCAAAAAACAGACTTTAGTGACTTGTTTCCACTCAATTCAGTTTCAGATTTGATGCGTTCGATGCAGCATCTGGTTGTTGTCGGGATATGTTTATTTCTTCACAAACAATATTAAGCATGCAATGGGATGAAGCAAAATCAGCCCTTAAACAGAGATTAATGGATATGGAGAGACAGGTAGATCTTAGTAGATGCCCCAATTTCAGAGCAATAGACATGCATAAATATCGTCCGCTCCCTATGGCCTACCTATCACAGCTGGAAACATATAAGTTTAGGAAAGCCTTTACTCTGGCTAGCTGCGAGGCTTTCCCTTCCGCAATGCTGGAAGGCAGATTTAAGAAAATCCCGAGGGAACAGAGATTCTGTCCTTGTGGCTCTGGCGAGATAGAATCTATCGAGCACATGATGCTAAAGATAAACAGGCATAATAAGGTCCGAGGAAAATATATTACACCACTCTTAAAAGATATGGCAGGCCAATCGGATTCAGACTACTGTAATCAATTGTTAACCGACCAAAATCGGACTACTACAGAACTGGTAGCGAAATTTTGGGCGGCATGCTATAGCAGACAGACTAGACAGCTAAACCCTTAGACCTTGGCCTTACATTGCTATATTTGCTGTTTTAGATATTTTACCTTTTGTATGACTTTGTAGTGCATGCCAGTCTTTGAAGTTTTGTATTCAATTTTGTATGGCTTGATGCTGTAACAATAAAGTATATGTATATAGCTAATACAAGCAAAGGAACTTATTAAAAATAACACAAGCAATAATTTATCATTATGTTCATGCAAACTTTTGGAACATTTTTTATCTGAATTATGTGTTTATTTCATCTTGCAATCCAGGGCGAATTGAAAAGTGGTGACTGCAAACCAAAAAAACCAACACTAACACAGTCCCAAAAGCAGGCAGGGAGGCGGGGAAATCACAACAACCGGTCAGTCTTTTTGAAAAGAATCTTTTGATTTTTCACTACCGTCCCCACCCCATCCCCAAAAGTTAGATCAATATGTCATCAGTAGTCTTAGCACTTTAGGGTATAACTGATCATCTATCCCTCAGCCATGATACTCTCTCAGTTTACTCTTTCTCCTAACATTCTTGGAGGGATAAACAGGAAAGACAATAACAAAGGCTAAAAGTAATAAAATAATAAAAGGCATAAGATCCGATCCAGGATATTTTCCCCCTCTCCGGCTACTTGCCTATGAAGTCTCCAGTTGCTTTTATTCCTAACTTGTCATAATGTTGTCTTCTAGGGGATTTCAAAACATGTTGTTTTGTTCCCCTTTTGTGCTAGGAGAAACTAGCCGACCTCCTTAAAGCAAGTGAAAAAAAACTCCTAAGATGATGGTCAGCCACAGAAGCACAAGCAGTGAATAGACTCAGGCAAAGGAAGACTCACTTAGAAGAGTGGCCAGAAAGGATCCTCCAAACTCAACAGAGCCCTGGGACAATTCAGAGAAGGCAACTGTCCTTTCCTCCCTCCCTTCCAGCCAACTTGCACAATGATGATAAGATCAGCCAAGTCCCACCCACGCCAGGCACAGCTGCAGTTCTAGACAAGCCAGGTTTAGGATCCTAGACCTGGGCAGTGAGTTATTAAGGGGAAACTTTAAAAAAAAATACTGTACACTTATTTTGTGTATTATTTTGTGTACAGCCGATGGGCAAAGAACCGCTTGGGTGGGACCCATAAAAGCCTGGACACCCAGGTAGAAATCGTGTGGCTTAAAAAAAAAAAGGTCTATTCTTGTCTATGATAGAAACGAAACACTATTTGGCTTAGGGAGCGGGGCTAGAGGTTGAGAGTTCGATCCCCGGCTGGGGGGGGTCCCAGAAGAGCTGCAACCTCCCCCCCAAGATGCCTCCAGAAGGAGCGAAGCATAAACCACTTCTGATTACTCTGCGCCTAGAAAACCCCGAAAACGGTCGCCATAAATCGCAACTGGCTTGAAGGCACTCAGTTATTATTATTATTATAGGGTAGCCGGCCACTTGTTTCCAACATTGGGTTAAACCGGGTATTATTGGACTGCGACTCCCAGAAGCGCTTGCCAGCACAGCTAAGCGGTGAAGGATTGTGGGAGTTTGAGTACAAGAACGCACGGGAGCCCGTCTAGCCACTGCCCTGTGGTTCGTCTATGGTAAAGGAACCGCGGAGGCGCCGCTCCATCCTTCGTCATCTCCATGGTAAATAGTAGAGGAAGCCTTCGCTCTCTCCGTGTGTCGCTCTGTCTCACTCGGTTTCTGTCATAAAGTCCCCCCCTCGTTTCAACACACCTTTTAAACTAGAGGCGGGATATGAGCCAAATTCCTTCAATCTCCAAGAGAGAGAGAAAGAAAGAAAGAATAAAAATACAGGATTTTATGGCTGTTTTTTTGAAATGTCACTCTAACTTTTTTTAAAGCTCTATGGCGCCTTCTCCCGGGCGCGGCCCGATGACGCCATCAAGGCGCCGCCCGGCCCTCGCGCACCGTCCGCCCGAGCAAGGCTCCTTGGTGACGGTTCCGGCGGGCGGCTCTGCTGGGCCTCCGGGCTCGTGGGCTCCGATGGCGGCGGTGGAGGCGACGACGACGAC